CTAAAATTTTAAGTGGGGTCCATCAAATCCAAAAATGAATAACAAATAAAAATTATTCAAAACATTATTTAATAACTTCATTGCCAACAAAAATACTGAAAAAATCAAATTTTGCACTTTTCCTCAAATATTTCCATTACGGTCCATGTGTTAAAAAAAATCGCGGATTTGACCAAAATTAGAGAGAATAATATCACAAACAAATCTGATTGAAAGAATTTTCTTCTATAATCATGGATAACAGAAAGTAATTTTAAAAATCCATATTTTGAAAATTGTATTTTCGTTAAAAAACATCACAAAAATCATATGGTCGGATCTAAGACTATTATTGGTTCTTTTAGGCTTAGCAAGTGTTGTTTTATCTTTTTCATTTGTTTTACAATTTAATTTTGTTCTTCAGTTTAATTTGTTCTATTTATTAGAAAAATATATAAAATATTTGTTATAAAATATTTTAATTCCAATAAATCCATGAATAATAATTTTGTTGGCCCCAACTTTAAAGAAAAATTCGTATTTTGTAAAAGGACTAAAACACTTCACCCGCCAGAATGTCAAGAAGAATATAATTTTAAAAATTTGACAATCTGGCCGCGTGCTGACCGTCATTTTATAGAACACCTAGGCATTTTACAATCCGACTAGCCAGATCGGAAAATAATGAATGTTAAACAAGAATTTGACAAACTGGCCGCCTTTTGTAAAATGTCTAGACATTTTATAAAATGACGGGTTTTAAAATTTGGCTATGACATATATAAAAAATGTTTTGAGTATGATGTAAGTGGAAAATTTAAGTTCATACTCATACATTTTTTTTTAGTTAATTCTTTCTTATCAAAATATTAAGATTTAACTTCTTTTTAAATATGAATGCAAATTTTCAAAATTCTGTTATACTGGGTATTGTTTTGCAGTAAGTCAAATTTTTATTTTTTATAATTATAGTTATAGTATATACAGTGTGTCCGTAAAGTATGGAACAAATTTATTTTTAGCTAAACAGACCATTTTAAGAAATAATCCTGAAACACGTCGATTTTTGATTTTAATTTACCGTATTTTAAAATAATAATCTAATATACAGGGTAAATTACTTTCGAGTAATGACGTCACCGTCATTTTTTTTAAATGGAACACCCCCATTTTGTCTCAATTTTCGGATTACTCTAGCTGAGCTGATTCCAAAAATGTATCACATGTTGATTCCAATTGGTACAGGGTGGACTTGTGGTCTAGCAGACAGAATAAGAAATAAATTATTTATCAATTTTGAAAAAACATAGTCGTCTAGTTTTTTGTGAAAAGTCATTATTTGTTTAGTAATTTATTGATGTTCAGTGACAGATTAGTACTACAATATTTTTGGTATTCGTGAATGTTTTAATTATTGCTTAGATTTAATTTGAATTAGAAATGGAGTTAAGTGTAAAACAAAAAATTGAAATACTTATGATGATTGGGTATGGAGATAGATCGCGAACTCAGATGGAAGTGTGCAATTTGTTTAATGATAAATATCCAGAAGGACCTTTAACGCGTTCAACAGTCAGTAAGGTTGAAAAGAAATTTAGAGAAACTGGTACGGTTGAAAATGTACGCAAATCAGGTCGTCCCTCTGCAAATTCTGATACAGCATTAGATGTTTTACTTAGTTTTGAAGAAGACGCGCACACTTCTGTGCGTAAAGTTAGTCGCGATATTGGTGTTAGCAAAACAACGCTACACAAACTATTAACGCTTGAAAAATGGCATCCTTATAAAATCAAACTTGTACAGGATCCCGATAGAAGAATACAATTTTGCGAAAAAATGATGGATAAATGTCACCGAGACCCTCTCTTGATACAAAACAATTTTTCTGATGAGGCCACTTTCACGATAAATGGCGAAGTTAACCGTCAGAATTGTAGATACTGGGCAAAAGAAACCCCCCACTGGATGCGTGAGCATCAGACACAATACCCGCAAAAGGTAAATGTATGGGCTGGAATTGTAATAAATCGAATCATCGGACCCTACTTTATCGAAGGTAATTTAAACGGGGCAACGTACCTTGACTTTTTAAGGGGACATCTCGTACCTCCTTTACGTAATTTGTTTCCCATCAGACGTAATCCTGGAGGTTGTGATGAAAGTTTATGGTTTCAACAGGATAGTGCACTTCCACATTATGCTGTAGATGTTAGAAGGTACCTAGATGAAATTTTTCCGAACAGGTGGATTGGTAGACGTGGACCTATCGAATGGCCAGCGAGGTCACCAGATTTTAATCCTTTGGATTATTTTATGTGGGGCCATCTAAAGAATGTTGTGTATCAAACGAAACCAGCAAATACTCAAGAATTAAAAGAGAGAATTCGGACAACAATAAACAATATTTCTCAAGACACAATAAACAAGGTCCAATAAGAATTTGTACACCATTTGGGTTACTGTCAAATACAGCAAGGGCTGCAGTTCGAACATTTATAAAGTCATGTATTTCATCATATTCTGTCCGCTAGACAATAACTATTTTGATAATATTGTTAATTTAATTAATAAAGAATGTTACACGTTACTTTATGAGCACACACAAAACTATTGTATTTTTGCCCAACCTGTACCAATTGGAATCAACATGTGATAACATTTTTGGAATCAGCTCAGCTAGAGTAATCCGAAAATTGAGACAAAATGGGGGTGTTCCATTTAAAAAAAATGACGGTGACGTCATTACTCGAAAGTAATTCACCCTGTGTATTAGATTATTATTTTAAAATACGCTAAATTAAAATCAAAAATCGATGTGTTTCAGGATTATTTCTTAAAATGGTCTGTTTAGCTAAAAATCAATTTGTTCCATACTTTACGGACACACTGTATAAAGAAGAATATACAGTGTGGTTTGTAAGTTCTGAATAACTAAAGAAATAAGAAAATATGATTAGTCACCCTGTACCTTGATTATTTAAAATCACAGACTTATTAAGAGCGTTCTATCGTTGCAAATAAAATCGTAGTTGCATCGCCCCTCCACTTTCAGACCAAATCGGAGGGTTGGTCCGTATCCGAACTGCTGACACTATTTACGTCATGAATAATGTCTCATCATTCTGTCTAGGGTAGCAATTTCTCTTTTACTTGTATTAGTGCGTACGTCACTTACAAATCGTATTCTTATAGACCGTAAACCTCATGCAGAAGCCTTAACCGTAAAACATTTTTAATGTGAAAGGTTTATTGATATTATTTAGACTTAAAAGTAATTTAACTTTGTTCGCGAAGCCTGTTGCCGACAAGTACACGATTAAATTATCCAATAATTATTTTTGTAAGAAAATAGAAAAATTGTAATTGCATTGATGTTTATAAAAAATGCAATTTATAAGCCGATTGTTGTTTAATTTATTATTCAAATATTCCGTTTTATAAGGGCAGCACTTATCGGCCCAATATTATGCATTTATTTAAAATCGACTTTAAAAGTTAACCTCTGTTAATTTTAATTTTTTTCTTTTGCTAAATATCTTAAAATATTATACCGAATCGTGGCTAGTATAAATTTGTATATAAAAATCAATAAAACTACGAGAAAAAAATATAAATTAACAAAAAAAAAATATATACAATGCAGCCACAAAAATAGATTTTTTTTCTCGTATAATAGTGAAAATCGCAAATAAATTTATAGCTTCATAAAAAAGTTATCCCGATTTTAGTATATGTATGTCGATAGAATGCTCTTAAAATAGATTCCTTAGAACCTATAAAATGGAATTTAAAAGGAGGTCCTTTCGCCACCCCTTTCGTCACCAATGTTAAATAAAAAATATTAGATTAGGACTAAAATTAATTTTTTTTCTAATAGTTGAAGTCCTTATTTATCTAATGTTGAACTTTTAACTATACCTTACCGTGCAAATTTTTGAGAATTTTTTTTTTAAAATGTGAGTATGAGAAAATAAGACCTCAACAACAATTCTCGAATTATATTATTATTTATTGATTAGATGGAGTAGAAAAAAACTAAAAATAGGGTTTCTGAAATATTTAGGTTTTGTTTTTTACAATAAAATATATAGGTTACCTTGGAATTTATTGAGAAATTATTATAAAAAAAAAATTTGAAGTAACCTAGTTGAAAATTTTTTGTGATTTTTTAATATTAATTTCTCAATAAATTCCACGGTAACCTATATATTTTATTGTAAAAAACAAAACCTAAATATTTCAAAAACCTTATTTTTAGTTTTTTCTACTCCATCTAATCAATAAATAATAGTAAAATTATTTATAATTCGAAAATTGTTGTTGAAGTCTTACTTTCTCGTAAGACACTGTACAAACACACACATTTTAAAAAAAAAAATTCTCAAAAATTTGCACGGTAAGGTATAGTTAAAAGTTCACTATTAGATAAATAAGGACTTCTACTATTAGAAAAAAATTAATTTTAGTCATATTCTAATATTTTTTATTTAACATTGGTGGCGAAAGGACCTCCTTAATTTTTTATTCTTTTATAATTTATTGTATTTATATAGAAAACATTTAAATATTACTTGAAAATATGAAATGCTTAGTTAAAATGAAGCAATTAGTATTAGTATTGCAAACACAAAAATGAGAGCAACTCAATTAACAGATAAGAATAAAATCTTCAAGGCTCAGTGACTACCAGACTAACCAAAAACCTCAAAAAATGAACCGCGAAATTTTATAAATTATGTAAATAAAATCAATCACTAATGCAACTGTACCTAAAAAAACTACCATAGTTAATCACCTGAACAACGGAGTCAGTAAATCGAAGGAATTATTATTAAATTTGCCAACATTAAATTAAAGAAAAATTACGTCAACACAACAAAAAATAATCCAACAATAGTGAAAGTTTGCTACAAGATGCAATAGATTTACAGTACTATCGACAAAATCATTTGAAAACAAAATCATATAAATACTTCCCATACCGCAAAATTCATCAGTATCAGTTCAGTGTTCAATCCAAAATGAATACATACAAAGGACTTTTCGTCCTAGCTTTAGTAGCCCTAGTGGGTGTAACCTTAACACAATCCAGGGAAATTAGCCGCGATAAACGGGAAGCTGATTTGGAAGTAGCCGCTTCGGGTCACGGTCATCATTGGAAAAAAGGTGGTGGACATGAAAGTCATGCGGATCATCACAGCAGCCACGGTGATAAAGGAGATAAAGGCTACAAAGGTCATCACCACCATGAAAAGGGATCCAAAGGTCACCACGACAAAGAAGGACACAAGAAACATTACGAAGAACACGGAGGACACAAAAAGAAACACCATCACGATGACGGTTACCACGCCGAACACCACAAAGGAGAAAAGGGAGAAAAAGGACACAAATACGGAGAGAAAGGCTCTTACAAGAAGGGGCACAGCACCAAGGGAGGACACGATGTTCACAAGCTTGACGAATACAAGAAAGAAAAACACTTCTTCGACGAAGACCATGATTCCGGACACCACGAGAAACACGGAGGATACCACCACGAAGACGGATACAAGAAGGGAGGTCACAAGAAAGGAGGACACAAGAAAGGGGGACACCACGAAGACCACTACGGAAAGAAAGCAGGTCACGAAAAGGGATCTCATTACCACGAAGACGCCGGTCACAAGAAAGCAGGAGGTCACGACGATCACTACCATCACGACTCCAAATATGGAAAGAAGGGTGGTCATGAAGATCACAAGAAATGGGGCTACAAAAAGGGTCATTAAGATTTTTGAAGAAAATGTGATTCGTTGGGTGGATAGTTACGTTTTTATCTTTGTTGTTGTTTCGTTCTATGTTTCTAGTTTTAATAAAATTTAAAAAAATATTTTAGTGTTTTGTACTTTATGGTAAGAAATTAATGAATTTTAAATTCCACAGGGTGGGCCGCCGGTAACGCCTCGGTCTGTAGAGCCAAAACTATTTGAATTTTTTAAATCTGTTTCCAAAGCGAGATGATTATCAAAAATTCAATAATTCTAAAATAATTTCAATTATACAGGGTTCTCCAAGACAAGGATACATATCAAATTTTGCATTTTTAAATGGAATACCCTATTTTTTATTTTATATTTGAATTGCCCTCGCTTTTGCCATTATAACAATATTATAATATTATACAGGGTATTTCTCACGCTATAACCAGTTCTATATGAAAATCATATACATTTCAATGACCTGTATACTACAAATCAAACAATTGAAAACAAGTTGTTTTGTCGTAAAAGGTTTTAGATAATAGTCAACATTTTATTCAGATGCACTACTTTTTCAGTTCGAAACAAATCTATACAGGGTGAGTCTCAGATACATTATTTTCTATTTTTTTTAATTGACAACACCCTGTATTTTTTTATATCACATTTTAAAAGTATCTTAAATAAAAATAAATTATGAAGGAAAAAGAGAAACTCTTAAACTATGTCGACCATTTTCGTCTTGAAAACAACTGCTCCCTTGGCTAATACTGCAACAGGAATTGAATTATAACAAAAGGTGAACAGCAGAGATATAAAATAATTTTCAACAATCTAATTTTGATTTTCTATCTATGCTGTTCACTTTTTGATATAATGCAATGACTGTTGTGGTATTAGTCAATGAAGTAATTTTTTTTCAAGAGGGAAATGGTCATCATAGTTTTTATGACACGGTCTTTGAGATTTTTTCTTTTTCCTTCTCAATTTATTATTAAATTGGTTAATTTGAGAATAGGAATAATTTTCCCCTACCTTAAAAACGTTGTCAATGTATTAATGTAAAGTTTTCGAACAACCTCTGTAGTTAGGACAAATCTTATTTAGCACACTAAAACGCAAATTATAAGACTATAAATAATCTCAATGCTAATAGTATATTGAATGTAGCAATTCATGTGAATGCTAGATTTTTGCAACTCTTAAGGGAGCAGGCTACTTACAATTTGACCTCGACAATTCATGCCAGTGTTCACCAATAAATTAACTATGTATATTTTTGTTTTTATTAGACCATGAACTAAGATGGCAATTCATGTGAATGCCTGGTGTTTCTTCAGCAACTCATGTGAGTGCACCCCAATTCTTGTACGATTTAGTTCTTTTTGGTTAAACCATATTTTTGATTATTGATCTTACAAAATGGCGTCTCTGACACCACTCTACCGTCAGATTTACAATCAAAAATAATTTAAAATTAACATAATATACTTAATAGAACTATAGTCCAATTTAGAACTCGTTTTATTTTCGGTAATTATTGCGAAGACGCCCTTTTCTTAAAAATACATATTTTTTTATAAAACTTACATTTTAGTCTTTAAGAAGGAGAGTATTTTTCAAATATACCACCGGTAACCCCATTAAATCATTAAATGATCATTTGTGTAAACTTATTCATTAGAATTTAGAATAATGTATGTCATGCTCTGTCAACACAAATTAGTGCGGTGTTGCCAGTGTCCAACTAAAATCAACGAAATAGAAATTAGTTCTATTAATTTATTTCCGACTACACCCGATGATTGATTTGTCCATTTTGATTGAATTGTTGTAGTACGTTATTTTTAAATATTAATATTACGTCATCTATAAAATATAAACAATACTTTTCGAAAACTTTGAAACATAATTACTTTAAGTTATCCAAAAGTTTTTAAAACTTTTGAACCAAGTGAATTTATTTGTTTGTCAAATGACGACAGCCAGCCAGCCAAATTTAAAGAGTTTTATCAACAAGGTTAACTGTGACGTCACTTGGTGGATACTTTTAAGGCATTTCTCTATAAGCTTACCACAACATACTTGGTTACAGTCTCTCAATGGTTACAGTATTGTGGTTGCTGTGGTGACGTCATATGTCAAAGGACCACGCACTTTTCTTATGCACACGGGAGTACCGTCAAAATGTCTGAATTTTTGATATGTTAAATAACTTAATGTCCCCATCAAAAGTGTCCATGGGCTCAATCGTATCCTATGACTAGATTTTGAGATACAGGGTGTTGAAGTTAGAAATCCCTAGTTCTTTAAAATGGACACCATAAATCACCCTTAAATATTTTTGGAAGTTTTTTGCTTATTCTGTGTAGTCAAAATACATACTTAACTACTATAATTAAAATATTGTACATTACAGGGTGATTAATGATTCGGCAAATCTTTTTTGGTCAAAGTAGGTATTCCCACCGAACAAAAATAGCTAAAATACAAAAAAAAAAAAAAATATCACCGTCAAAGTCTCTCAATATTCAATATCGTATAGTACTCGATGTACTCGTTCAAAATTCTTATTGGTAAAATTAGATCCTATGACTAGTTTTCCAAATATAACTTAATATGTACCAAATATATGAATTTTAAACAATAAATATATACTAACATAAGTAGATATTTTCAAGAGGAATATCTTGTATTATTTTGACATACTGTTTAAGATTAAGAATATATCCCTTGTACCAGGCCCATGACACTCCCTGGGCGGGAAAAAGACACGCAGCTTTTACTGCGCTGACGTTTTCGGGATATAACCTATCACTTCTCATAAATCCGGTTAAAAACTCGCTACCATGCGCAGGCAATCCATATTTCGTACACAAATACAAACTTTTGTTTACATTTTATCGAAGTAGTTTTTGTAATACATTCACAGCTTAAAAACGGAAAGTTTGTTGTTTTGATAGTGAATTTAGATCAAAAATACCCCAAATACACTTTAGTGTGTGTTTTATCCTTATTATTACGTATTATTGCTCGTTTTATTTGAGGACATTGGAATAAATAAAGTACTAGAAGTAATCAAGCTAAAAAGATGTCTTATAAGAAGAAAATACATTGCATTCAACCGATTTATGTTTAATATGTTTTCGTAAAGTATTTCCAACATACTAGTTCCTTGAATGGTTGTAAATTGTAAGTGTATAAGTGATAGAAACTGATCTAGTGCTTTGTGCTTCGTTTTTTTTGTGTTGGTGCCCCAGCCCAGCATTCCTAGCCAGCAGTAGTAGCAAAAACATTAACATTGTCTACATTCAACCCGTTTACATGTACATGATTTATCAGCTAAAAGCAGAATACAATAGTTCTCTGCAAAATGTAAACAACGCAACAAGGAAAATTGCTCATGTATAAATTCAACAATTAAATCAAAATATATTATTTTTAAAGGACTTATATCAACTATTATGTTAATTATAAATATTATAATATAAATATTTGTAACAAAATAATAGTTGTGTATTAATAAATCTGTTACTACTTCAAAAAATATATTGTTTATTGATTATCAGGTATCAAAAATAATATGTTTCTTATTATAGTTGTAAATAAAAACACACTTTTTATCCGTCCATTCAACACTTACAAACATATGCATATTTTAAGTTGTAAGGATCTGTAGCCTCTTAATTTTTTACATTAGACACAAGACCTGTGATGTCACATTAAATCGTGAATATGAGATAAAGGATTTAGGAGTTGTCTTTTAGTCTAATTTGAAGTTTAATAACCATTTCTTACACATAACTAAAAAAACAATAAAAGCTTTGGGTTTTTAAATCAGAAATACAAAAAAAAATTAGAATTACCACCAAAATCAGATTATATAATGCCTTACTAAGACCCCATCTTGAGTATGTTTCACAAATATGGATGCCCTTGAAAGCCACACATATTGATCATATTGAAAAAGTACAAAAAATATTTTTACCGTACCTTTTTATGCCATAAAAAAATACTTGTACCTTTATAAGATCTCATATAAAACTATGCTCGATATTTTTAAGATTAAATCTCTTTTACAAAGAAGAAAGCAACAGGGTGTGATATATTTTGTACTCTATTTTAAATAATGTTAAGTACAAAGATTGTGATTTGATTGACTATATAAATTTTAATGTGGCAAAGATTAATCTAAGAATCCCAAGTAACAAAAAATTATTTAGTTTAGATCCAAGTAGTATATTTCCTTTTAACAAGATAATGACTGTTATCAATGAGTTTTTTAGCGAGGTTCAAATAGATATCTTTAATGTTAGCCTAAGAAAGTTGAGGACTGTACTAAATTAAGTTATTTTTAAAGTTCTTGTTACTTAACTCTACATGTAACTACTATTAATTTTTTATAGTATCCAATAAATAAATTATACCTTATGGCTGCTTTCAAACAATTCTGTGTGTAGTCACTCAGTTTAAAGTTAATTTTAAATTAATGAGTTTAATAAGAATGTCAAATAGTGATATGTATAGTGTCTGCGAATTTGCTGTGTGTAGTAAATGACCAATAAACATAACTTTGATATTTTTATTACAAGTGTAAAAACTACGAAAACCATGTACATACAGTTCCCATTTTTAAATAAATTCATAATAAAAAGTAACGATTTTAGTCTGCCATACTTGAACTCATTCACTAAAACAAGTCCTGAGCATATATTTGTAAAAAAAAACTGCACTAAATATGTCTCCATTATAAATTTTTATATTTAAAACTACATACTTTCCTATAGATTTTGCAGTAAGTACCTAAATAATGTATAGAATAAATTTCTACAACATAGAAAAGTTTTAGATTAGATTAATTCTTAAGAAATAAAGCAAAACCTCTATTTTGTTACTCTAACCTTGTGTGTTATATATTTTCCTTGACAAGCTCACGTTATATTTTGAACTAAAAGTAATTAAACTTTTCACTAAAAAGTAATATTTCACATATATAAAAAAATTTTAAAATGGTTCTGCCTTCTCACATT